ATGGGCACCAGGTTCGCCTCCACCCGAGGCCACCCCAAGTGCTGCAGCTGCCCAACCTTTTCCTGAGGCCCCTCCCCACCCACCTCCTCAGAACATTCATCCTTGAATGTCTCCCTGCACTGGGACTGGAAGCGGCTAAGGTATGTGTTGCAACCATCATGTCGCAGGGGTTCACTGGTTCGCTTCACACACAGCCCTGTCTCCTGACCTCAGTCGCCATCTATGTAATGGGGTAAGAGCAAGCCGGACCAAATGAACCTGCAGCTCGGGTCGCATGGTTCATCCAGTACTCACTGGTGGAGACCCATGACCCCCATCCTACTGGCTGGCAAAGTAGGCCTGGTTTCCTGAGAAATCTCCACCCAGAAACAATGCACAACAGCTGTTATTCATCATTCACAAAGCCCTGGTTACACAGCTGTTCTCAGCGGTGACTTCACAGAGCGATCTGGTTGAGGATCCAGTTGAGTGAGTTGGTGCTGTCCTAAGCTTCACAAATAGCAAACGGTGCAGAAAAGATGGCCAAGGACCACATGTCCAGGGTTTTCCTGAAGCCGCCGAGGCAGAGAGTGCAGCCCTTGCACCTGGAGACCAGGAGACCTGGTGACCTGGAGCGGCGGGAGAGGTCAATGCCATCTGCCGAGCTGCCTGCAGGAGAGGTCAATGCCATCTGCCGAGCTGCCTGCAGGAGAGGTCAATGCCATCAGTGCGTCTCCCTCCTCCTGCGTCTGAAAGAGCAAAGGGAGAGAGAGATCTCCTGAGTCGCCTCCCTACCAGGCATGAAGCGTGGGCTGGGCGGAGCAGCGGGGAGGAGGCTCTGCTTATTATGAAAGGCTCTCTGTGCTGCTCTGTTGAGTCCGAATATTTCACACAACAAAGACCCAGGGAATCTCCCCACTCCCACCCTCCCTCCTGAGACAAACACATGGAAAAATCCAGAATGAGGGTTCAAAGTTTCTAAAATTGGTCCATTCTGTGATTCCCAAATGGAAGGATAAAGATCATGCCTCTCCACCAGGATTTAGTCAGATTTTCATGCTTTCAGTGAGGATCCGGCATGAAAAGAAACCCAAGAAGTTAGCCGTGCTTCATGGACAAAGCAGAGAAAGGCCACAGACAAAAGACTCATCTGGAGAGATTTGGAGGCTCTGCTCTGGAACTGAATCAGTTCCCAAACATCTCACTCATTCTTTTCATTCACTCAGCAGCTATTTATTAAGCGTCTACTGTGTGCCAGGCCCTGGATAGGAGCAGGGGCTGCCCTGTGAGCACGTGTGGTCTCATGCTCATGCGACCTGCAGGAAAGCAGGGAGACGTACATACGACGAGGACGCATACAGATGAGGCACTGTCCCCAGCCACTGTGGGGACAACACCTAACCCTTCTGTGGGTGCCAGGGAGGCGGGGTCTAAGAAATACTCCTTAGAAAAGGCAATATGAAAACTGAGGTTGGAAGAAATAAGACCCCACCCTTCCCAGGCCATCAGTGTCCATTACCAGAAACGGGGCGACCCGCAGCATCCCACGGCCCTTGCAGTGCTGTGCCAGGGGCACAGCATCGCCTCAGGGCTATCCCTGCCAAAAAAGCAGAATCGGAACCTAATCCAAGGCAACATCACACAAACATTCTGGGGACATTCTGCAAAACAATTAGCTTGTATTCTTTTAAAATGCCAGTGTTGTGAAAGAGGCAATGTCCCAGATTAATGAAGACTAAGGAGACATGACAACTAAATGTTATGCATGATCCCAAACCAGGAGAAAACTAGCTGTAAAGAGCATTACTGAGACAATCAGTGAAATTTGACCATAGCCTGTAGATCAGAAAACATTGTGTAAATGTTACATTTCCTGATTTTGATAACTGTAACTTGGTTATGTAAGAGGATGTGTTTGTTCCTAGGAGATAAACACCAGTGTATTTAGGAGTAAAGAGGAATGATATGTCTGCAACTCACTCTCAAATGGCCCAGAAAAACATACACATATGCTGCGTGTGTGCACGCACACGTGCCTATAAATGTGGTGGAATGCTAACAATGATCCGGGTGCAGGTCAACGGTATAGGGGATTTCTTTGTACTATCTTACAACTTTTGTGTAACTGTGAAATTATGTCAAAATTAAAGTTTGTCCCCAAACCGGGTACACAGCCAGGGGCAGGGTGTCTGGATCCTCCATCCAGGGAGAGAGGGCAGCCAGTGCAGGGAGGCGGGAGGTGACAACGGCATGCTGTGTGCAGGGAACTAGCAGCTTGGTTGGAGTACGTGTTCAAAGTAGGGGTCAGGAAGAAACTGAGTTCAAAGGGCAGGCAGAGGCAAACGTAGAGGTTTGGGTCTTCGTCCTGCTGGCTGGGGGGAGCCGCTGGAGGGTTCTCAGCAGGGGAGAGCGGCAAGATCAGAACGCCATTTCACAATCACCATGGCAGAGGTGGGTGCCGTTTCACAATCACCACGGCGGAGGTGGACAGGAAGGGGACCAGACTGGCAGCTGGGAGAGCAGGTCAAAGCTCTTGCAGCACTTCAGGCAACAGGCACCACAGCCTCGCGGGCTGCTGGCATCTGGCAAGCACTTGTTTAACGAGCAGAACTAAGGGCTCCCCTGCAAACTGATGAGCTCCAGCAGCGGGGATGGGGTGGCGGCAGGTAGCATGGCCTCAGAAGGGCTGGGCTTAGGATTAAGAGGTGGGAAGCTGGCTGAGGGACCTGCAGAAAGGGAGTTTCTCATGGAAGTGATGGCACCAACCAAGAAAGAAAGTACTGGAGAGAGTGGTGATGGGAAGCAAAGTGACCATTTCCCATGCTGAGTTGGAAGTGCCTTTGGGACCGGAAGAGGTCCAGGCACTGAGCAGAGCACACGGGAGGCCTCCTGGAATCAGCCTGCCTGCGTCCCCACCCTGGCTCGCTGTCTTACTGGCTGGGTGACCTGGGGCAAACAGCCTTATCATTCTGTGCCTCAATTTCCTCATCTATAAAATGGTGACATTAGAACCTATCTCAAATGAAGAATTAAATAAGTGAATGTGAGTAAAATGCTTAGAGTGAATGTGAGTAAAATGGTCAGAGCTAAGTGCTCATTAAGGGTCAAGCCCTCCCCTCCCCCCACCAACTTCAGCTGGCATCCCAGGCATCGAACAAGAGGGTGAGAAATAACAGGAAGAGGGCAAGGGATTAGCCAGGGAAAGGAGACTCGTTCAGGCACGGGCGCCCAACACCGTGCGTGTGCTCATGATGTCTTGCACATGGCTAGCTGGGGACAGGGTGGCTCTGTCAGGCAGTGCCGGCTTGGGGGGCGGAGGGACCGGGCCCTCCTGGGTAACGTCTGCCATGCGGTTGTGGGAGAACCCGTGGCACTTGTTAAAATGTGAATTCCTGGGCCCCAGCCCAGAGCTACAGAGTCAGACTCTGGGGATGGCACCCTGAACTTCACACTGTACCAAGCCTTACCTTTTGCCTCCCAGTTTTATGGGGAATTCAGTTTGCAAATGCTGCCTGAGAGCAAGAACCAATTGTTGTAGCAATGCATTTCAGGGGGAGAACTAATGGCAATTACTTTCATGTTTTATCTCAAGTCATCATTTGAACCCTTTTATAGAATCAAAATATGTAAGGTCCCATCACCTTAATAAAGGCGGTATTTCCTTGAAAACAAAAGTACTCCATGGAAATATTTTAGAAAAAAAGATCCACGTAGGTTGAAGTGGTTATTATTTCCTTTTACCTTAGCCTGGACAAAAGATGGTTTTTGACAAAGGAAGAAGTAATAGCTCTCTTCAAATATATAAAGGGCTCTCATAATGGAGAGAAGACTGATATTTTTCCTAAGAAGATCTACCGAGCACAACTAGGACATCAACAAGGAAGTTGATTTGGGTCCAAGAAGGAACTAATAGTCGAGCTGCCCGAAGGATAGGCCACCTGGCCAGGTGGAGGTGTCCATACAGGGGGTTATAGGAGAGTCCTACACTGGGCAAAAAGCTGGATTGGATGACTCTTAAGATTCTTTCCAACTCTAACATTACATAAGTCTCCATTAAGTAGGGAAAAAATGAGAGGACCACGCCTTTTAAATAGCATTTCACAGGGAGGGAAAAAAAAGTTGCTGATGATGGTTTTTAGTTAGCTGACAAACGAACATTGCTTATGTAATAAGGAAATAAACACTCCTAGTAGTGAAAATTAGAAGGCTACTTCTGAGCCAGGCAGTGGGATCAGCTTTTTTCCCATGCATATCTTTAAAAAGTCAGCAAAACACTTGACATATAGCTAGGACTTTATATTCACTGGATTAATAACTAGTTACTATTATCCCCATTGCACAGATGAAGAAACAGGCTGAGACAGGTTAAGTGACTTGCTAAGGTTATCCAGCCATTAAGGTGAGTCTTGATTCAAACAAGCACTAACTCCAACATACCAATATCCAATGAGTGAAAATATTTGTTCCTCCAAAGTCAGCACATGTATATATGTATGTATGGACATGATGGAGGCAAAGTACAGGGGTGGTCGGCTTTGTCTGTCCTCTGAGATTTTGTTTTGGGAGACAAGATGAATCTAAAGAGCACACTTTGAGAGTGATCAGCCAGCTCTCCTGGTGACCCACAGGGGTGTCTCTTACAGCAATCATCTTTCTATTAACATAAGCCATTCAAATAACTTGAAAACCCAGGATCATCTCATTGATGTCTTAGCAGAAACAGTATTTTTCACTTTAATTTTGGGTGGGAGTGGAGCACAGCCATGCACGGACTGGTTGGGTTGGTTGTAGTAGGGAGTTTGCCTTAGGAGAGAACAATTCGTAAGTCTTTTTTCCCCAAGCTTCCCCAGCTTTCTGGCAATACCAAGTGGCAGTCCTGGGAATGGGCTGTTCAGTCACTGCTGTACCACCTGTGAGCAGCAGAGGGCAGCAAAACACACCTATCGGTCATGCATCAGTGGGGTCTGGGGATACCAGGTATGCTTTAAAATGTCTTCGTATCATCTGAAGAATTCTTGCAGAGAACGAATACTATCGATTTAAAATTACGAAACCAAAAACACAAACACAAGTAACTAATTATTCCCTTGTAAGAAACCCAGTGATATACTTTTAAAAATTCTTAATGCTACAGCTAGTCTCCTGACTTGAAACATGACTTGAAGGGGGATTGAACTTCTACGAATAGTTTTTTCCTTTATCTCTTTCCTCAGTGTTCTTGTTATGGCAGTGGGCAGCTTTTGTGCACCTGTGATGGGTTATTTAGTTGTTTCCACGTGGTAAGCTCATCATGGTTTATGAACTTTTCATTTTGAAGCTACAGCTGTGATCTACTTACTGTTTAATTCCCTTCTATAGAAACTCAACAGATTTTCACATGAACCATTTATAGCAATTCCTATGCACTTCTGCACTTGATCTTAGCCAAAAGGCTGAGAAGTGATCCTAGGCACTGGTCACCAGTTTTCTTAGTTTTTGTTTTGGTAAATGCCTCCTGGTCAAGCTGCAACATACAACCAAGATACCACTTCAACCTCTCATTCTTGTACAGAATCCTCAAGGTACAATGGTCTGTCGAAGAGCATCAAAGTCCCCAGCCTGGGATTTGTACAGATGAGAATCCAAAGCATGGATGGCAATTCAGCCTCCTATTTTCCCCTACGCTTTCAGTGAATAGTGACCAGGAGGTGACCTGGAGAAACAACCTCCATATTACGAGGGAGGTAGCATAATCATGTGAAGGCTCTGG